CACCTTGGGTAGACCTGGGTCACACATTATCAGTATCTCCCAAGAATCTCAGGAGGTCTGGGTCACATAGCATCGAAACCTCTCAATACCTTAGGCTAGGTCTGGGTCACACAACATCAGCACCTTGCTTGGCTAGACTATTCCTCTTGAGTACTCGAAACGTGTCTGGGTCACATAACATTAGCCACATTCAACTATCGACTAAAGTGCATCTTGCACTGACTTGGATATATTTGGATATTCTATGCACACAAGACGATCGTCCTATTGCTAAAGTAACTCGGGTGTCCTCACCGTTTCCTGAGCTACACACAAAGGCATAAGTCTTATGGAATCTTAACTCATAAGGTTCTTATGGTTATCACACAATTATTATTATCCCGTTGTTATTATAAGTCTTTATCTAAAGCTAACGTCTTAACACACGTTACCCGATGCCCCTCTAAGGAAATCAAAGTAGCTTAGTTACTCGTTACCGATCTTGTTGAAATCATGTGAGGCCATTTCCTCTCACCTGAACTATCTCACTCGTCCTCTCACCTAGGACGTTAAGGAAAGGTTAATTAACACTTAAAGGGGTATTTTAGTCATCAATGACTTCAGAGAGATCTCTAAGCGTTTCACGATATTCTGTCGATTATACTTGTTATTCACCGACTAAATCACTAGTTATCCTAATACCTGATTCAGGTTCATTACTGGGTAACAACACTCCCAACTCTCTTATCGTACTTCTTCTAAGACCCTTGAAGTAGTTGAATGACTTATCCATTCCTAGTTCACTGACGTTCTTGAAGCCTCATACTTTTTGTCTGTACTGAATCTAACATATTCATCGTACCACTAGATATCTCTTGTAATGATCTTCGATCCCAACTATTCATATACATCATTGATTGAAGATACTTTAGTGTATTACGCTTAATATGGTTACACCCGATGTAACCTACTCCTACGAGTGTTTTTAGATATGTTTGGTCATTTATGTTCCTCATGGACTAAGTCTTACTATTACGGATCGTCCTTAGATCTTACAGAACTTAAACAGGTCAAAAGAACATTCAACAACACTTAGGACCTTTAATGAATGCAAATCATGTTTTTTCATCGAGCAAAACAGAGAAGGGATTGATCATTTCTTTCGAGGGATCGATCCTTTTGAAAAGAGATTGATCCTTTGTTGGACATAAACTTTGGGATCGATCCCTTTGGTCGAGGGATCGGTCATTCTTCTGGGAATGACTTGCTTGAGCTCGGGAATCACTCAAGAATCACCTCAAACGACATGAGTTGGTTTCTAAACTTATTCAAAAGATTTAATAAGTTATTCAGGGTCTTAAGGCATTATTTAAACATATTATTAACACCGCGATTTGGTTGAGAAATCAAAGATGAACCCTAAAATGCTCAAATCACCAAATTTTAGCAAAAGCCATAGATTTATGAAACCTTAATACTCTAAAGGATTAGAAATACACTACCTTGAATTTAGAAACCTGAAATGAAACTCCTTTTTTCTATTAGGCACCCTCTTTTTTAACTTTGGTTGATTTTTCACCATTTTTCCTCAAACCAAAAAGGAAGACAATATCCTTAGCATACCAAGGGTTATAGGATGAGTTTGAAACATATTAGAAGTCAAAAGGAGTAGAGAAAGATGTTTTTACCAATTCTTGAAGTTATGGAGACTTGAAGGAGAAAAGGAGAATAAAAATGAAGAAGAAGAATCTAAGAAGAGAATATGGGATGAGATCCCACGTCCAAAACATCAATAAAAACCCAAAAATCAGCTTCCAAAATATTTAATGGTTTAATTGCACTTTTGGTCCTTTGTATTTATCTTATATTAAAAAATCCCCTTTTATGGCTAATAAGGCCCCAAATCCAACTCAATTAAGCCCAACAACTTAATTTACAATTTCACATGGTTCACTTATCTATCGGGTAAACCCGAAACTACTAACCTATAATTTGGGGTGTTACATAATTTCCCTTTAACTTTCCTTTATAACTATTATCTAGCAAAATTTCCACTTACCTCTCGGGTAAACCCGAAACTACTAACCCAATTAAATATTAACATAGGAATTGACTTCTTTGCTCTTTCTCTATTATCTAGCCAAAATTTCCTAAATTTTCCTTTTGGTCCAATTATCCGAATTTCTCCTAAACTTTAACACTTTATAGCTTTTAACACAAATTTTGTATCAAAAATTTGAGTAACACAAAAACATCGTTCTTGGAGATAAACTATCCATTTACAGGAATAAAATACATATTTTTAAAATTACTATTTAGTCCATAAAATTATGCTCTAGCCATCAAACTTTCATTTTATTCATTTTGGCCACTAACCAAACTTTTTGGGTATTACACATGATTTCTAGGATTTTAGAAACAACATCCATCTTTTTAGAGAAATTTTGACATTGAATTTCTGAAACTTTGTAATTTGGTCTTGAATTTGCTAGGTTTCTCAATTTAACCCTGACACTTCTAGATTTTTCTAGAAATATCCAAAACAACCTACAATTTGATACCAAAGTTCTAAATCTTATTAGTCCGTAAAATTGAAATTTTCCTAGTTAAGCCCCAAATTTTAAATTTAATCCAATAAAATTATGGATTATTACTGACAAAACTTTCTAGTTCGGATTTTGGGTTGTGACATTATCTATTCCACCCAAACCCAAGTCGCCCTAATAAATTATGTTATAACACTCGTCCCAAAATTGAATTAAATCTTTTTTATATATGGGTATAAACATAATTTTTTTTAGGTAGAGTAAAAAAAATTCAACTCTTGTAAGTCATTTAATATTAAAATTTTCACATTTTGAAATTTGTTTTAAAATATTTTTATTTTAAAAGTCATTAAAAATTAGTGATATTATAAATAGAACAAATTAAATTAAAATAATTATTTTTAATGAAAAACATATTTTTATTAAATTAAAATTAATTAATTAATTATATATATATATATATAATTATAAAAAAATAATAAGTTAGAATAATCAAAAGATGAATTTTCCTAAAAAAATAATATATTTTCTGGCAGAAATTGATAGGTTACGGTTGATAATCTCAATCACAATGATTTTTGCTTGAGAGTTTGGTGGCTTTACCAGACGGGACAACCTACCAGCTGTTGCGTTTCTCTCAAGTGAACTCGTTTCCCTTGCAAAATCCATTTTTATTTAAATATCATGTTTTAATTATTATCTTATAGGATTTAAGGTGAATATAAATATTATTTAAAAAAATATCAATTATTAAATGCTTCTTATCTAAATTTGTTTTCCTTTTACACATAATGAATTCGTGTTGTTATTAACAAAAAAATAACTTTAGCTCTGTAAATACGAATTTTCTATTTGATTCACGTTTTAAAAATTAATTTTAATAAATTCAAATATAAAATTGTTAGTAAAGTTGTATTTATATAGTATTATTCAAATTTAATACTTATGATAAATGAATTTTATATTTTAAAATAGTTATTCAAAATCAAATATCATAAAACTTATGATGTTCACCACATATTAATCAAAAAGAAATTATAAAGGTGAACAAAGTATCTATTCACCCAACTATTCTCATAGTTGTGTTTTGATCACCTAACTATTTTTTTCAAAGTGTATCTAAAGTTACATTTTGGTCATCCGCTATTAAAAATTTAACAGCGATACAAACAAATAACCATGAGATAGTGTCACATTATTATTAAAAAATAAAAAAAATATCATGTCGATAGTTCTATTTATTTTTTTCACAGTGAATGTCGAAAAACTTTACTTTATATATGATTTTGAAAAGAAAAATTGTAACCAAAACAAATGACTAAATATATAGTTTAGCCTAATAATAATAATAATAATAATAATAATAATAATAATAATAATAATAATAATAATAATAATAATAATGTTCACCAAATAATAATAAGGGGTAAACTACATGTTTAGTACATAAACTATTACTCCTGTTATATTTTGGTACCCAAACTTATTTTCTTTTTCAAAATCATATATAATGTTTAGTTTATGTTTCATTTTGGTACCAACCGTTAAAAATTTAACAGAACTGCTGATGCGATATTTTTTATGTTTTCAATGATTATGTGGTATTATCTTATGGTGACACGTCAATATCATTGTTAAGTTTTTTAACGGTGGGAGTACTAAAAGGAAACCTAAACTAAATGCTGGGTATGGTTAGGGGTGTAGCCGAGTCGAGCTCGAGTATTGCTGAGCTTGACTCGACTCGAAAACTCTGAAATGAAGCTCGACTCAACTCGAAAACTCGCGAGCTTAAAATTTTTAAGCTCGACTCAAACTCGAAATCCTGAACTGAAGCTCGTGAGCAGCTCGAAATGGCTCGAAATGAAAAAAAAATCTTAAACTTAACAAGATTGAATCCTCAAACTCAAACTCGAACTTGAACCTTAAATACATGAAAGTCTTATTGTATTTTTTTTAAAAAAATGAACACATAAATGTTAATATTATTAATAATTTATTTTTTAAAAAATAAAATCTTAATATATTATATTTTCGAGCTGCTCACGAGCTTTTCATGTCGAGTATCAAGTAGCTCGTTTCGACTCGTTAAGAATTCGAGTCGAGCTCGAGTTCGAGTCGAGTCCATTTGATCCGAGTATTTATCGAGCCTTGACCGAGTCAATCTCGAGTAACTCGCGATCTGTCTCGTCTCATTTACAGCCCTAGGTATGGTTTTAAAAAAAATAAAATTTAGGTACCAAAACAAAATAGAAGTAATAATTTAATTATTAAACATGCAGTTTACCCTAATAATAATAAGTTGAGCCACCAGCCGCATTAAGAAAACAGTGAATAAAATTTGCAGTAGTATTATATAATAATATATAAATATAATGAGAGCGAAAATGAACAACCAACAATCAATTACAATAAAATTATCTTTAAAGACAGAGTGTATACTAATAGTATTGCTATTTGGAGGATTCTTTCCTCTTCTCTCTCTATTTCTTCAAGTTTTCTCCAAATCATAATGTCTTCAAATCTCCTCATTACCTCCTCAAGTGTCTACTTTTTCACTTGAGGTATGCCTTTACTCTACTTTCACATAACTTCCATTTTCTTCGACTATTCAATTTCTCTTCAGATCTTCCCAATTTTCTTGGTTTTTACTCCAAATGGCGATCTGGGTATTGTTTGTTTTTTTTTGTTTAGCATGTAAATTTGCTTCTTTTATATCTCGTTGTTAAGTTTTTCTTTTAATACTAGAAAATTACAGTCATTTGGTTTGTTGGGGGATGTAAAAATGTAATCGAAATCTTAGATTTTGGGCTCTGTTGTAGAAAAGAGAAGTTCCCTTAGGTGGCTTCACTATGCTTGTGATATATGTCTCTTTCTTAGATCTCCATTTTATCCATTCCTGGTGAACAATTAGATGAGGTTTGGTTAGTTTCTTTGATTTGGATTGCAATTTTTTTTTCAGATTTTAGGTGAATGTAATAGGTGTCTTCTTTATTTTATTATGCAATTATTAGTTAGGAAATTGTGAAAGCCTACACCTTTTAGTTAGTAGGAAGTCCCATGTTGGGTTGTGTTCTTTATGGGAAAATGTTTTAAAGAGAAATGAGTTGCTAACATTGAATCTAAAGTTTCCCATAATTTTGGAACTTTTTGTGGTTTTGTGTTAGATCTCATCCCCTTTCCTTGATTTTGTTTGAAATGTTGTTTTGGGTGATTGATTCTGTGGTTGATCACTGGAATAGTACTTCTTCTATGCTTTTATGGAAGTATGAAATGGTGATTCTCTTGCAAAATCTGAGTGCTTTGACTTGATTGATTCTGTTAGTTCCTGAGAAACTGTGCTATAGAGCAAGATAAAGAAGGCCTTCCTTCAACATTTTCTCATTGCACTGGATTGTCATTCTCTTTTTATGCCTTGAGATCTTTTTGTTTCTTTTAACTTTCATTCAAAATCGCGATATGTTTATATATTCCTTGCTTGGATGTGGTTATTAGATAGATGACTGGTATGTGAACTTGATTTCATTTCTCGTTGTGCAGACATACATGCACATCTTCGCATATTGACATTTTATGGTGCCATATGCTTCCTGAGTTGCATGTATTGTATTTTATGATGCCGCATGTTTACGTTTCTTTGCTTACTTTGTTTTAGTTAGTAGGTTATTATGCCTTTTTACTCGAATTAATTAAGCCATGATATTTATCTCTTTTCTTTCAAGTGTTCTGCAACATACTAGCGGTTTCCTTCCCGGTTTCTACTATTTTTGAGTCGTTTTTTTCTGGAATCCATTGAGTTAAGCAGTTCTTTATCTAATATGTGTATCTGTTCTGAAATGCGAAGTCAGCCTATCTAATGCAAGATTTGGAGTTGGCCACTGTCTTGGATGATTTGTTCAGGGGCACTGTTTCTATTGTGGTTTTCTTGCTTGGTTTGACAAATAAATTTGTCTTTGTTACGATGATACAATAATGCAATAGTCTCCTGTAATTTAAATCTAACAAACTATTGAGGGATGTTGTAGAACATTTGTCTTTATAGCGTCAAGTAATTAATTTTTATTTCTGTTTGTTGGTCATTTAGCAAATAATGGTATATCTAAAAAATGTAATAATGCAGGTGTCATTGGTTAATTTCTTTGAATTGTTATTTTCATGAAGTTCATTTTCTTTTTAATAATAAGGCTTCTTTGGCGATAATAATTTTTATGCTTGTTCCTTGCCAAACTCGTCAAAGATTCTAAATTTTCAAGTCTTATCCTTTATTTGCCCCCAAAAAATCCCTATCCTTAAGAGACAGTTGCATAATCATTTAAATGCTAGTTGTAATATTGGCTTGCCTGCCATTGAATACTTCGATAGAACTTTAGATCAATGATCTTCTATATAACCTTCTTATTATTGTGATCCACCCTTATACATGTATCTTATGAATATCCTATCTGTTTACCTAAAAATCTGCTTGCTCTAGCAAAAATGTAAAGCTCAGATCAAATCTAGTTATGAAACCCTGTTGTTGCTTCTATCTACATGGAAGGAAATTTGCTTGAATAATTATCCTTTTTACCTTGTACAAGATTAACTTATGTTCGCCTTTCTACTGCTACATGTGTTTGTGCCATTTGACTCTTTTGTGTGTCAATTAGCTATTCAACTTTTGATACCTAGTCTGTGACAAGTCCATTTACATATATTTCTATATAATATTTCTGTAATCATTTGAATAACTCAGTCGCGTTCTGTGTTCTCAGGGAGCCTTTGAGTTTCTTATGTGTACGGTTGCTGGCAGTCGTTCTTGTGTGATATAGTGGTGCATTCTCTATATAGGAAGTTAGATGGGTTCAAGATTCCCATCTCATAAGCTCAGCAATGGGCTTTATGTATCAGGAAGGCCAGAGCAGCCTAAAGAAAGGGCTCCGACCATGAGCTCAGTGGCCATGCCTTACACCGGTGGAGATATTAAGAAGTCCGGAGAACTGGGGAAAATGTTTGATATCTCTATGGATGGTTCTAAGTCACGGAAATCTGGACCTATAAATTCTACTCCTTCAAGGACTGGATCTTTTGGTGGTGTTGCTTCACATTCTGGACCGATCATGTCTAATGCAGCACCTCGGGCAGGCTATACCACATCAGGTCCTGGTGCCACTGGGGGCATGTCCGGTTCAGCCTCATTAAAAAGGTCAAACAACTCTGGTCAACTGAATAGACATGGGGATCCTGTAAAGAGATCATCTGGTTCACAATCTGGTGGTGTAACACCGAGTGGACGTCAAAATTCTGGTCCTATTCCTCCTGTTCTCCCTACAACGGGCCTTATTACATCTGGACCCATCTCTTCAGGCCCACTGAATTCCTCTGGTGCTCCAAGAAAGGTATCTGGTCCTTTGGAATCTATGGGATCAATGAAAGTAAATGGTTCTGCTGTTCATAATCAGACTGTCAATGTTCTTAGCCAAGATGATGACATTTCTTTCAAGAGGAACTTCCCAAAACCAATATTATGGGCACTAATACTGCTTTTCATAATGGGTTTCATTGCTGGTGGTTTTATTCTTGCAGCAGTCCACAATGCCATTCTCCTTGTTGTTGTTGTGGTTCTTTTTGGTGCTGTTGCTGCATTATTTGCTTGGAACTCCTATTGCAGGAGAAAAGCCATTACAGATTTCATTGCTCGTTATCCGAACGCAGAGCTTAGAAATGCAAAGAATGGGCAATTTGTGAAAATTTCTGGGGTAAGTAAAGTTCTTTATTTGATATGATATTTTTCATGATAACTATCATTTTTTAAACCGAGAAAGATTGAAAGAACTGAAAAAAATTCACATGATTGAAAGGCCCTATCGATAATTATTTTGGTCCTAGGCCTGCTGGATAAAAGATGGTGCAAATGTAGGCATAAATGAGCATTTATTTTATGGACATATGATTCCTGTATCTGTTGCACTTCATCGACTATCGGAAATTTAATAATTGGTTGTTTATGCTTGTGTAGATCTGCTTTTTATTGAAATAATTTGATTTCAACTGCTTGTTAGTGTGTAGATGGCATTGATTAAGTGTTTGGTTTTAATTTTGAAGGTCGTTACATGTGGGAATGTACCTCTCGAGTCGTCCTTCCAAAAAGTTCCAAGATGTGTTTATACATCTAGTAGTTTGTATGAGTATCGAGGATGGGATTCCAAAGCTGCAAATCATACTCATCGCCGCTTTACGTGGGGACTCCGATTGTTAGAAGTCAGTAATTGAACTGTTAATTTTTATTCTATTATTTCCTGATTTTTTATGAAAATTTGTTATTTTCCCTTTGTATTTACAAGTCACAAAACATGTCACAACTGTTCTGTAGGCTTCTTTCTTGTTCGGAATTATCAAATTTATCAACACGGTGATCTGTTCACCAAGTAGTCCAGAAGCTTGGTCAACTAACTTTGCGATACTGTCTGACAAAAAAAATAATAATAAATTTAAAAAAGAAAGAAAGAAAGAGAGAGAGAACTGACTCTTGTTTGTTATTCTCTGAGAAGCATTCGCTTTTCTGTGGTCTAAAATTCAAGTTTATCTTATTGTGATCGTAAGAGGGTATTCTTTACACTTTTCGTCACTATGGGATCTAAGTCGGACAATAAAACCTTTTTTTCTTAGTTTGAGATGTCTTTGAACATAACATTTGTGTATGTCATTTTGACAGAGGCGTGCTGTTGACTTCTATATCTCGGATTTCCAGTCTGGGTTGAGAGCGATAGTAAAAGCAGGCTATACGACAAGGGTGACTCCTTATGTGGATGACTCGATTGTTATAGATGTCAACCCAGCTAACGAAGCGTTGTCTCCCGAGTTTGTCAGGTGGTTGGGAGAAAGGAACCTTTCAAGTGATGACCGAGTAATGCGAATGAAAGAAGGGTAAATGTTCTATCCTATTAATAGTTTTCCATAATATTAACTGCCTATATTGCAGAAACCTTTGGTAATCAAACACGAATTAAGTGTCTGGTATGGGTATGGTTATGGTCAGATATTTCTAAGTCCTTTACATTTATTTCGAGGATGTTTGGAAGATATATTTGTGTATCCTTATTTCGGATATGAGTGCCAGACATGGGGTACTTCAAGGAAAACATAAGGAAATTGGAACAATAAATGGGATATATTGCGAGTCTCTTAGATTGATGGCTGATAGGGCTTATTCTTGAGTTTGTGAATTTTAAGAAGTCATCTTCTAAAACTCGGTTGTTTTCAAGATGAGTAGTCTTTTTGCGACATTCTCGATTTGTAATGATTAAGTGACTTGGTGGTGAGATAGTGGAGTGAATCCTGATGTAATTGGCCTAGGTAGAGGTGGCAAAAATCTAATCAAACCTGTAAAAGAGTTTCGAATGATCCGGGAATGAACCTGTTTCTTTCCGAATTGAATGAGAAAGTCAAAACCGAATCTAAAACAATTCAAACCAAACCAACCTGAACTCTAAAACAGCCTGAACCTTAAGCCCTTGAACCAGAAGTAATCTGAATCTGCAGTGCCTGACCGAGTTTGAGACCAATGCCATCTAAATCCCAAACCGATTCAAATAAAAACCATAAATGACTTGAACTGTACTCAACCCAAGTTTGACCAAATTTGAAACAACCATGTATGATGGTCCAAACTTGAGATGGCTTAATCTTATACTGTTCGAACTTGAACTGTCCAAAGTCCAAACTTGAAGTGGTCTGAACTCCATATTGTTCAAAGTCGAGATGATCCAAAATGGAACTGGCATGACTTGAAGACCGATCAGCTCAAACCTGCCCGATTGCCACCTCTAGGCCTAGCATGAGATGAACATCAAGCTTTATATTGGTGTGGATTGTAAATTATTGAGCCTGGTTATCATTGGGTTGTCTGATGCAGTAGCATCATGGTCATTTATGGCTGAGCTGATCTAACTATTGAATGTAACTATGAAATAAACGATACGCAAAATTATGGTTGTCTCATAGGGAAGTGTGAAAGGTTGTTTCCTTTGGGGTCGGCTTTCGATGAGGGAACTACAAAATAAAAAGCATTTAAGCTTTGTATTTCTATCCTGAATCATCAAATAAGTTGGTTTCAAAAACTAGAATGGTGTTTTAAACTATTCTGAAACTCGAATTTTATATTTTTATAGGTATATCAAGGAAGGAAGCACAGTGAGTGTGATGGGAGTAATTCAGAGAAACGACAATGTGCTTATGATTGTTCCGCCCCCGGAACCAATCACAACCGGATTCCAATGGGCCAAATGCATCTTCCCGTTGACCCTCGAGGGTATCGTATTGAGATGTGAAGATACATCGAATAACGATGCCATACCGGTCTAGAATCATGTGCATTGTAAATTTTTTCTCAACCACAACTCTTTTAAACTTCATCTACTTCACTTTTTTTTTTATTCATATTTGTCAATGGTGGTTTTGATAAAACTCGGAGAGATGAACCCAAGACGAGAGGCAGCAGGGTGGTTCTTAATCCTTTTGAACTTGTATAGCTTTTCCAGGTTGCTTTACTGTTATGCAGTTTGAGGATCTGATGTTTTAGAAGATTTGTCGGATATTGTTATATAGAGAAAGATAAACGTTACATTACATTACTTGCATTACAAGATTCGTATGATGTTTACTTGACTGTTTTGCTTGGTGTTCGTTGGCAATGACTTGATGAGAAAAAATGGCTAAATAAAATACATCAATAAAGTATGAGTCTGAATTCATATAAGATTAGATTATTAGTGTTAAGGATGAGTAAAATATAACTCGATTGAAAAAAAAAAATCAAATTTTTGGATTTTACTCGATTTTAAAAATCTCTATTTGACTCAATTTTTAATTTCATAAACTTGATTTTATTAAAAAAATAGATTCGAGTTAATTTATAAAATAGAACTTTAATAACTTGAAATTTTTAATAATTAATGGAATGGTTTTTAAGTTTGAGTCGAGTTCCTTAACTATTCATGATACATACATATATATATATCAAGGGTTAACTTTAAGTGGCACATGATATTATCTTATTCGAGGGTTAAATTTATTTTAATTTATTAAAATTAGGATCAAATTGATAGAATATATAAGTAATATTGATAAATTGTGTAATTAAATCAAGTTTTTTAATTGTTATGTCACTTTGTTGTAATTAAATCAAGTTTTTTAATTGTTATGTCACTTTGTTCATCAACGACCAATGACATGATTGCAATACATCAATAGTTAGATGGTTTGATTGGTAAAATTTTAATATCGGTAGTCAAAGTGAAAAAGAACAATAGTTAAGTGGCCCTGTAAGTAGTTTACCCTATGTTTTTTTTGAAAAGTTATTTTTTATTTTTTTTAGTTATGTAATACTACCTTGGTCTCATAATTTATATCTTATATTGACCATGTATATAATTTTAGAAGATATATTTGGTTAAAGGAAATGATAAAATTATCCCTAAAAAATAATTAATAGATTTGACATATTTGATTTGATAGGTGTAAAAAAGTGAGACATATAAAGGTAAAAATTAAAATATAATTGTTGTTTGTTGACTTTTCTAATAAGACATTTTAATTAAGATAATTTTAAAAACTAAAAGAGACGAATTTAGTAAGACGGATAAAGTATATAACTATGAATAACAATCATATATTTTATTATTAAAAAAAAAGGGGTAGTATAGAAAAAACAAATTTAAGTTCACCTAAAATTTTAAAAAAATTATAAGGAACGACGACCTAATATTAGATTAATGAACTACATGAAATAAACGCAACCAAAAATATGAGAAAAATTATAATATTTTCGATTGGGTGTAACCTAAAATGTTAATTTTTTCTTAACATTTGAACCGAAAGTGTTATATTTTTATCACATTTTTTGTTACGCTCATTTCTTGCTGTTCCTTTCTTAAATTAGGTTGTCCTACTGCAGAATTGGCCCTAAAAGATTTTAGGAGCTAACCTGCATTTGACCCACATACATTTTAATATTTAATTAGACTTAATATAAAATAAGTATTCAAATTATACACTTTACTCATTTTAGGTGTCTAAAATATTTTTGATTTAAAGAAGTGTCAAACTCTAATTTCAAACTCCTTTTCCATCCTCGGTCATTGCCGTTGTTGCCTTGATCGTCACTCTTTATAGTCGTCCGCTTCATCAAACCCTCAGCACATGCAAGAGAAATCTTTGCTCCCACATTGGTCATTGCACAGAGGAATCATTGATCGATTGATGTGTAGAGGAATCGTAGTAGAAGCAACGATGTTGGCATAGAAAATAGTGATTTCAGTTGTTGGGTATTCGATTGATGGCGCGGCATTGGAGATTCATCCGATTGACAATGTTAGTGGTGACCAATGTTGATAAGAGAATTGAAATTAGGATTTTAGGATTTTTATTTTTTTTAATTTTTTTTTTTGATTTTAATTAAATAAAATAATTTTAAGTTTTTTAAAATAAAAATATAAAAAACATAACGCGACATGTGTTAGATAATACTTTTTTTTAACAATTGTGGACGGATCATACATTTAAAATAGTAATGTTGGAAGCTTTAAACACCTACTTTAAAAAAAAAATACTTTAAACACCTAAAGTGAGAAAAAATATAATTTGTATTTTATTTTTTCATTAAACCATTTTATTATATAAACTATAAATATTAGTATTAATTATTTTATTAGTTTTAATTAGTAAAATTGATAATTTGTATCAAACGATTTTTTTTATTTTTTTATTTTGCAAGTTTACTCTCAAGTACCATAAACTAAACCTCTATTCCTATGATAGTTTCATATCAAAATAAAAATAAAACTCATAAATATTTTAGGAAAATATAATTTATCTAAAAAATAAAAATAAATTTTTTTTAGAGTACTAATTATTTTTTAAAAGTATTTTTTTCGAGGAAATAAACTAACCTTTATTATTATTTAAATATTCATACAGAGATGTAAATGACCCGAGCTTGAATAGACAAGATTATACTCATGTTCATTTGTTTAATTTGTAAGGTATTCATATTCAATATATATTCGTTTAAAAATATTAATATCGTGTTTGTATTCATTTATTTATTTTTGAAGTTGTCCGTGTTCGTTTATTTATTGTTCGTGAAAGTGTTCATTTAAAGTTGACGAACATGTTCATTTATATGTACACAAACGTGTACATTTAGCGTTTACAAACATGCTTATTTAGTATTCATTTATTGTTCGTTTATAGTTCGCTTACACATGGGTGGAACATCATGGGAGCCGATGGAAGACTTGGTCCCCGCCAATTATTTTTAACTATTAATTAATATTACAAAATATATATATTTTTTAAAAAAATAAATAAAAATTTACCAAGCCCCTTTAATTAAAAAATATTGTATTCATGAAAAATAAAAAAAATACTTGAACTCCACTATAACAAATTTCTACTTTCACTCATGCATTTACATGTTCAATTTTTACTTTTAACTTTTCATTTACAAGTTAAAGAAAAATAGTAAAATTATGCTAGTAGTTTTTAAATTCTTTAAAATTTACAATTTACATTTTAACTTTTAACATGTATTCAATTTAATTTTTATATTCGCTAATATTTAAAATATAAAAAATAAAAGGAAAATTAAAATAAAGTAAATGAACTTGTTCATGAACATAAATAAATGAGTTGATATATAAGTTTATTAAATGAATATAAATTTTTTTGTTCATAAACTTAATAAACGAACATAAATAAACATTATACTAATAATTTACCGAACCCTCCCTTAGTTTATTTACTTTACTCCAGTGTCCCAACTCCAACATGTATAAAACCTACTATAGTTTATTAAAATCCAAACGTAACTGATGGTTCTGTCTAGTTTCTTGGAAAATTCTCAAAGCCACGTGTTCGAGCTTCGCACCCACTTACTCCCATCCCCCAATTACAAAAATGCGCACGTTTTGCTTTCCAAATTTTACATGATCTTTTCCATTATTTTATTTCAGTTATACTGAATATAGATTATTTTATTTTTTAAATTTGAATTTTTAAGAATATTTCAAATAATAAAATTCGAAAAATTTTATATTTAAACCATCCACTCTTAAAATTAAAATTTGTTACTCTAACCAACTAATTCTGATATTCATATTTTATTTTATTTAGACACTTAGTCTAACATAAAGTTTCTAATCTTATTTTAAAAATATAAAAGTTTCATGTTGATTTTTTTATAATATATGATAATATTATGAAATATCTAATTTAATAATAAATTTGAATTTGAGAATTTTAAAATGTTAGATTTAATTTCATTATATATAAATCGTGTTTAAATAATTTTTTATCGATAATATATTGTAATCAGTGATTGACTGAAAGGATTGATGGATCGACTTATTCTTTGAAATTTTTAAATTTATATATAATTTAATTATTTTATTTATACCTTTTTTTGATAGTCTAATTTTGTCTGACATAAAATCATGTATTCGTTTATGATTATAATTATATTTATTTAGATGTTATGTTACACTTATAAATACAATATTATTTTTATACAAAATTATTATTTGATACATTATCAATTAAACAAAATAATTTTATAAACGTTCTTCTTATAATATTAGGTGTGATTGTTTATTTTTAAAAATACTTAGAAATATATTTAACATCATCTGAAACTATTTGTAAATTTTTTAATAACTCATATATATTTTATTTTTTAAGAAATATATATATATATATATATATATATATATATATATATATATATTAAATAATTTCAAATGAAGAATAAAGTTCAATTAAAGATCAAAATTCAATAAAATTCAATATTAATTAAAGTACAATGAAAATTTTACATTTAATCCCTTTATTAAAACCATTGAATTTAGGGTTAAATAAAAAAAATAATATCCAATATCCATCCAATAAATTAATAAAGCCAAAGAGATTGTCAACTCCGTAATTTGGAAGAATCTCTAAATAAAGTAAAACGTTTTATAATTCATTGTTTTTTAACCATTTGTTTTCACTCTATATGCTTTACCTAATTATTATTAAAAAAATTGAAAGTTCAAAACTTCAAAGCCTCGGGGTTAAATAAAAAGTAGGCAATCTCCGCAAGAAAAGATTTTGCTTTCTCAATCGCAGCAACAAGTTTTCTCCTTTGAAAAAGCCTGCGCTTTGGGTTTAGTTGGCATTTTCCATAAGTCTACCAAGTCTCCAACAGATTTGGTGAAGTGTTGTTGTTTCAAACTCCCAAGGTGTGTGTCTTTTATACTTTGGAAACTCGTATTTGTGTATTTTTTGGCTGTTTAGTGTTTCGGGGATTGGGTTGATTGTTGAGTAAAAGGTAGTTTTTTCTCTCTTTAAGATCAATGGGTTTTGTTTAATTTTATTAAATATGGCTCTTGGATGACATGTTTCTTTAAATATATGGATCTAGCTGGGTGTTGTTGTGAGGTTTTTGGTTGATGAAATATGGGTTCCTTTTGTGGGGTGTTCTTGTTAGGACTATTGATAAAGGTTGACTTGTTATTTCTTGGATATTTTTACTTTTTTTTGGGTTAGTTTTTTTTAGGCTTTGAAATGAAAATTCATCACTACTGTATATGCATACTAATCGATAGCTGTTAGCTGTGCCTGTATGGGGTTTTGGAATAATTTGGAACCGAAATCTGAACTATACAAGCCAAAAAGCTAGAGGTTGAATGGTTTAATGTATAGATTATAATGTGGTCTTTACTGTTTTGTACTGCCGATGAACTTTGTAGTGGTATGAAGGGACGAGAGTGAAGTTGACAACTTTTGCTTATGATGCGTCTGTATCAGTAAAATCTACCATTTTGCATGTATGAATTGGTTTTTATTTATTTATATTTTGAGTACTATCTTCTTTCTTTGATGTTTGTATCTTTTCTAATTTCATGATCCATCGTTAAAGTCGTATCTTGATTGGCTGATTTATCAGTTTATGGTTTAATGCTTGTCTGTGCTTCTGTCATGTTATAGATATCAATGTTTGTATTTTAGTTTCAGTCTTTCTGGTTTTGAAATGTCTTAGTTCGCATGCTCTTGTCATTGGCACTATCTAGGAAACCTTGTTTTAAGAATTTTATTTCTTCTGCACAGTTGCTTGTGTTGAAATTAACCCTATAGTCAAGTCCTGGCTGACCAATAAATATACCTTGCATCTAATAAACCCATGTTCGTCGGATACCGTACAAGACATTGACATATTAATTCTTTAATAATACTTTTCTGGCATCTGGGGAATGCTATATGCCAAAGGAAGATATAGACTAATCATATTTCCTCTTAACATAGAAGATTGGTTAGCTTACGTGCTTTGCTAAGCAGGATGCCTTCTGTTGGGAAACCGTCTTATAACAATGATGTTTGGCATTGTTGTGAACTTCGGCGATATCGTCATCATGTAAAAATCAGAGTATTTCTCTGTATTTTCTTCATATTTTCAATAGGACAAATTACATCTTTATATACAAATTATCTCTATAAATTAGAAAACTCTAAGTAAGGAAAGATACTAATCCTAGGAGATATGATTCCTTAAAATAAGGGATTGTAGAAAACTATTTACAGAATCCCTTAACTGAAGGAATGATAACAACTCATATATCTCTATAATTCCTACCCTCCCCCTCAAGCTGGAGAATATACATTGTATAATCCCAACTTGAATAGGAATTTATTGAAAACAGGCTTTGGCAAAGCCTTAGTAAGAATGTTTACAATTTGTCCTTCTGAAGGAATTTATGAAAGTGTGTTTGTCTTTTTGTTAACTTGATCAGCAATAAAATGCCTATCAATCTCAACATGCTTTGTTCGATCATGTTGAACTAGGTTTTTGGCAATTTGAATAGCAGATTGATTATCGCACAAAACTTCAAAGTGATCCTCTTGATTAGTGCCAAGTTCTTTCAGTAATTTAAGTAGCCAAATTCCTTCGCATATTCCCAATGCTAATGCTCTAAATTCAGCTTCAACACTACTTCTTGACACGACTGATTGTTTCTTACTTCTCCAAGTAGTAAGGTTACCCCAAACAAAAGTGTAGTAGCCACTAGTAGATCTCCTTTCAATAAGATATCCGACCCAACTAGGGTCTGTAAAAATCTTAACAGTTCTGCCTTGTGTCTTCTTAAACATTAAGCCGTGTCCTTGAGTTTTCTTCAAGTACTTGAGAATTCTATTTGCTGATGCCATATGCTCTTTAGTAGGGTTAGTCATGTGTTATCACATTTACGGGAAAGGCTATATCTGGCCTTGTCAAGGATAGGTAAATTAGTTTCCCAACTAATCTTTGAAATTTCTCTTTGTCTACTAAGGATCCATCTTCTTTGCTAAATCTCAAGTTTGCCTCCATTGGTGTATCATTCGGCTTACAACCAAGAAAACCGGTTTCTTTGAGTAAATCAAGTACGTATTTTCTTTGGTTGATCACAAGTTCTTCTTTTGACCTTGCCACCTCCATTCATAGGAAATACTTTAGTTTTCCCAAGTCTTTGGTTTCGAATTTCTTATTTAACAACTTCTTCAAATTGTAAATCTCTTCTTCATCATCTCCGGTAAGAATTATGTTGTCCATATACACAATAAAGATAGCATTCTTATTTTTAGAAGCTACCTTGATGAAAAGAGTATGATCGGCGAGGGACTGCTTGTACCCGTTTTTCAAAATGACTTTAGTGAACCTCTCGAACCAAGCTCTAGGTGATTGTTTTAACCCGTATAGAGATTTGTTGAGCTTGGAAACCTTGTTGCTACATTCAACAGACTTTAAGCCAGGTGAAAATTTCATATAGACTTCTTCGAGCTTGCCATTAAGAAAAACGTTTTTTACATCAATTTGGTGTAATTGATGATCGCAATTTACAACCAAACTTGAGTACTTTAACAGTATTCAGCTTCGCCACAGGTGCAAAAGTTTATGTGAAATCTATCACATATGTTTGCGTAAAGCCTTTGGCCACTAGTCTAGCTTTGTATCGTTGGATACTACCATTGGAGTTATACAACAACAACAACAACAAAACCCAATTCCCATATGCAATGGGGTAAGAGGGAGGTAGGGTAGTAGGTTGCCCCTAACGCCAGGTTGAGAGTAGCTTCCGTGAAAGACCTCCGGCAGTCAGAAAATTAAAAATATAAATAAAATGCAATGCATGTATAAATAAATACATAAATACATAGTTGAACAGTATTCATATGCAGTCATTAATATCATTAATATCATATGCGGGTCTGTAATGGGAAGTAATCCTTGCAAATAAATCCATACGAAAAAATCTATGCATATAGACAGAAACGTAAGACCCGGCTAAATTTAAAAGTGAAGAGAATGATACGCAGAAGTCAACGATAGGAAGCCCAGTTCTAAGCCTTCATAAATACCGATAACAGAAACGTATAAAAAGTAGAAGTCATGGAAATTACTATAAAGGCATTAAAAAAATACAGAGATGATACACCCAATAGATGTGACCCACACTACTCGACTACCCTAGTCTTAAGTCTCCATACTTTCCTATCAGATGTCATGTCCTCGGTAAGGGCTAAATCCATCAAATCAGATCTCAAGCAGTCTTCCCACTTCCGCCTTGGTCGTCCTCTCCTTCTGGCACCGTCGACTGTAATCGACTCTAACCTCCTGACCGCATCCGACGGTAGTCGCCTAAGGACATGCCCAAACAACCGTAGTCTTCCCTCCCTCAATTTTTCGGAAACAGGCACCACCCCCAAGGACATCCTAATAGCAGAGTTTGTTGCCATATCCCACAGAGTCCTACCACATGTCCATCGAACTGCGGCCTCTATCCTCCTTACGTGATCATTCTTGATTGCCCAACATTCTGATCCATACAACAGCGCTGGTCTTATTGCCATTCTATAAAATTTTCCCTTAAGTTTTAGAGGCACCTTTTTGTCTCACAAAACTCCAGTAGCAGCCCTCCACTTTAGCCATCCCGCCTTTGTACGGTGTGTAACGTCATCATCTACACCCCTATCTTTATGTATCATAGACCCTAGGTATTTGAAACAATCATTTGAGGGGAGAACGTGTTCTTCTATGCATATTTCTACATCTTCATCGTTTTGGTCCCCACTGAAGTTTGAACATAAATACTCTGTCTTTTCAATATTGATCCTTAGACCTTTTTCTTCCAAAGCAGTCTTCCAGGTAGCCAGTCTACTATTCAACTCAGATTTTGTTTCAGCAACTAGGACAATGTCGTCAGCGAAAAGCATACACCATGGTACACCGTTTGGTGTCGCACAATAGATGTCGTCCAGAATCAAGACGAAGATGTAAGGGCTAAGAGCCGACCCTTGGTGGAGTCCGATTTTAACCGGGAATGTCTCGGTATCGCCAACTGTAGTCCTGACGTATGTAGTAGATTTACAGTACATATCACGAATCGCTCGGATATAAGCAGTTGGGATTCGTCTCGTTTCCAAGGTCTTCCAGATCGTATCGCGGGGAACGCTATCATAAGCCTTCTCAAGGTCAATGAACGCCATGTGAAGATCTCTAGACTTTTCCCTATATTTCTCCATAAGTCGTCGAAGTAGATGAATCGCCTCCGTGGTAGACCTGCCTGGCATGAAGCCAAATTGGTTTTCCGAAACCCTAGTAACTTGTCTCAACCTAGCCTCTATCACCCTTTCCCATAGCTTCATGGTATGGCTGAGTAGTTTAATACCTCTGTAGTTACCACAACGTTGGGGATCTCCTTTATTCTTATAGATTGGTATCACCGTAGACTCTCTCCACTCCTCTGGCATCTTGGCAGTCTCTAAAATAATATTGAAGATGTTGGTCAACCACTTAACTCCTTCTTCTCCTAGGGCCAACCACACAGTGATAGGAATTTGATCAGGACCGACAGCTTTGTCCCTACCCATCTTCCTCAAACCCAATCCTACTTGTAGGGCAGTCATTGGCCGTAGTATGATGGTCGGCTGACCCATCAACGGTACTATCTCTACAGGGAGAGGCACCGTCATTAAATAAGCCAAAGAAGTAACTACCCCAAACCCTCTTAATATCATGATCTTTCGCTAAAAGAACGCCATTGTTGTCCTTAATAAACCTAATGCTACCTAGATCCTTTTTCCTATTCTCCCTAGATTTTGCAAGCCTGAAGATGCCGTTTTGTCCTTTTTTCCTTGAGGAAGGTCTGTAACGGTCCAAGTAGCATTTTTCTCTAGTGCACAAATTTCTTCTTCAACAACCCTTCTCCATTTAGAATCCTTTAGAGCTTCAGCCATGCTTGTGGGAACTTGTTCTTTATCCAAGGTTGCCGTAAATGCTAGAAAAGAAGGTATCAACGAATTATAACCAACAAAATTTTCAATATGATGCTTGGTGCATTGTCTAACCCCTTTTCTAATAGCAATAAGGAAGTCATCTAGAGTAAGGGAAGTGGACTTACCGATTTCTTCTTCTATTTTGGCAGCTGGACCTAAATCCAATTCTCGACAAGAATCAGATTGCAAAACAGCCTCAAGAATATGTTTTCTTTTCCTTGTATAGGCACAAAGTTGTTTGATTGGTGTTGTTTGTGGAAGATTTTGAATGGGAGTTGGTGTATTTTCAGGAAGGGCGTTAAAAGTAGGTGTGGGTGAAGTAGTGATAGGTACTACAGATGAATCTACGGGAGTAGTTACAGCTGACAAATCTGTAGGTAAAGACAAAATTGGTGGCAATTCTGAAGGTTGAGAATGAAGAGTAGGAGGAGATAATACATGATGCGGCTAAAAATCCTTCCATATCTCCCCCTGAATTTCAGCCTGAGTGAAATAGGGATCTTGCTCATAAAATGTTATATCCATAGCGGTAAAAAATCGTTTAGAAGGAGGATGATAGCATTTATAACCCTTCTTAAGTGAAGAATACCCAAGCAGTACACACTTTAACGATTTAGGATCTAACTTGGAGTTATTAGAAGCAATGTTTTGGATAAAAACAATACAACCAAAGATTTTAACTGTCAGAATGGAGGAGATAGGCTTAAAATGGGGAAAGTATTGCAAAAACATAGATTGAGGTGTTTGAAATTGTAAAATCTTACCAGTCATTTGGTTGATTAAATATGTGGCAGTTAATAAGGCTTCCCCCACAAATATTTTGGAACATTAGTGGTAAATAGAAGAGAACGGGTAACTTCAAGGAGGTGTCTATTTTTCTTTCGACAATGCTGTTTTGCAGTGGCGTTCCAACACAAGAACTAAGTTGAACTATGCCCTTTTCCCTGAAAAAAATCACCCAAAGACTTAGCAAAAAATTCACTGCCATTTTTAGATTTAAAGAGCTTAATTTTAGACCCAAATTGAGTGAGAACCATGTTATAAAATTGGACAAAAACACCAGCAGTTTCAGATTTATCTTTTAGCATATAAGTCCAAGTTATCTTACTGTGATCATCAATGAAAGTGATAAACCACTTACAATTATTAGCATTTTTCACCCGAGAAGAGCCCCAAATATCACTGTGGATCAAAGCAAAAGGGTGAGAATGCTTGTGTGTAGAAGGAGAATAAGATAATTTATTATGTTTGGCAAGAGAGCAAACTTTGCAAGAAAAATAATTTGGCCTTTTATGAGTGAATAGAGCAGGAAAATTTTTTGCAACATAGTGGAAACTGGGATGAAACGATAGTGCCATAACATAACACTATCAACTTTTTTTTAAAGCGGTGAAAGATTTTGAGATTTCGGTTGTAGTAGAGGCAAGAAGAATGTAGATACCATTCTGCAAGTTGGCCTTACCAATCATCTTCTTCGAGTTCAGTGCCTGCAAAGTACAATCAATATCAGTAAAAGTTGCAGAGCAGTGCAAGTCGGTGGAAAGTTTACTAACTGAAACGAGATTGCAAGCCAAATTTGGTACAAAGAGGACATTTTTAAGTGCAATCTGTTCATTGAGAATAACAGTGCCATGTCCTTCTATTTTGCACAAGGAATCATCAGTCGTTTTGACAGCTTTACCAAAGTTGGGGAAAAAATTGCAAAACAAATCTTTGTTACCAGTCATGTGATCCGTAGCACCAAAATCGAGGATCCAATTAGGAGTCAACTGAGAGGAGAAAAAACCGTAGCATGAGGGTTACTTTCTTGTTCTTTCATGACCAGATTACCTTCTGATTGAGCATCAGAACCAAAAAGATTTTCTGGATTTGAAGTGATCTCTGGAGTAGGAGAAGAAGTTGTGGACATCGTCTAGGTTAGAAAGAAACTGTAACCTAATATGATACCATGTAGAAATCAGAGTAATTCTCTGTATTTTCTTCATATTTTTAATAGGACAGATTACATCTTTATATACAAATTATCTCTCTAAATTAGGAAACTCTAAGTAAGGAAAGATACTAATCCTAGGAGATATTTTCCCCTAAAATAAGGGATTGTAGAAAACTATTTACAGAATCCCTTAATTGAAGGAATGATAACAACTCATATATCTCTATAATTCCTACACATTATACTTGAGACTATGACCTTTTAAGAATGTGTTTATTTGAAAGATAATAACAATCCTCTAAATGTTTAGTATTTTGAATTGTTTAGTCGCTGAGAGGAATCAGAACTTAGGAAAAAAGTTGATTAATTCTCACAAGCATTGAATTGATTAAAAACTTATTTCGTATTTTTTATCCATTTTGGGTTGATTTTATTTTCATATATTTTATGGGTTTAATTAAAAATTTGTATAGACGTAGGGTTTGTATAATATTTGGATCGATGTTGTCAAGGGCACAAGGCGCTCTCTAGGTGCCAGAACCCTTATATTGCCTCCAGCACAACATACATTATAAGCACAATGCAAAAGGAAAAAAAAAGCACTTGCCAAAGTGAAGTGAGGTGCAATATGTATATATATTTGTTTTTGAATGTGGATCTTGCATGCATTTATTTATCATATTATATATAAGCTTAAGATGTATTATTATCACAATAAACTCTATGTTGCTTGGTTCTTCATTTTTATTGAAGTGCCTGTGTTCGACAACACTCGTCTATAACACATGTATATAGGGATATGGCCTCCAAGGATCCTCCACATACATGGGAAAATTTAGAATGATCTGGACATAATATTTTCGGATGCATACCCTTATTTGGCACTCATTCTCAGAGTTTGAGTAACATAGTTCTAAAAAGTGGTGCGGTTTATCTACAAAACATACAATTTTTTTCATGCATATTTTTTTTGTTTGATGTGTTGTTGAATACTGGAATTGCGTAAATATCGAGAAATTAGGGACTGATATTATCCCTTTTCTTACTAGTAAGGTACATTTAATGAAAAGAAAAAAAATATAAAAGAAATTAGGGAGAACTTCAATGAAGCAGGCTTTTTTGTCCTATCACCTTAGTGAACAAGCTTGTATGTGCACTAGTCTCGCACTTGATAATATGCAAAACGCCCAAAAATATTGAGTTTGATGCGATCTTGTTGTTTGGGTTCATGCCTTGAAAATAATGATTTGGACAATGTAATATAATAATTATATTTGCTTATTTTCCAAATATTAGGGCATAGTTTAATATTCAGTATTTTTATAGCCCCCGAGATTTACCTAGTACTTAAATTTTCTTACTTTACTAATGTTATTATGGAGACTGCACAGATTTGATATGATAACCCTACCCAATATAGAAACAGGACAAGAGCACAAAATGCTGGTTTTCCTTTCTGTTAAAAGGTGCTTTCGTATAAGTGCTAATGATTGTGAATGTTTAGTGAGTTTTAATTATTAGACAATGCATTACATTTATGTTTGCTAGATCACTTAAAAGAGAATAATGTGAATCTTACTGCTGTAGGAAAAGGAAGTTTTAGATGATCTTTCTCCATAGAACATGGCAACTGAGAGCCTGATGCAAATGATAGAAAGTAGTGGGGTCACAAAGTGGCACTCTTCAAAGGAAGCTCTAGTATTTGGTTCACAATTGAAGGATATAGAAATGGAGGAGTTGATGATGCTTTTGAAAGGGCAAAGAATCCATGGGGATCAAACAGACAAAGTGCCAAATCGAAGTGGTAGTGCTCCACCAAGCATGGGAGGTTCATTTACAGCTATCGGCAACCTTTTGGCTCAACAGAATTCTAGCCTAAATTCCAGCTTGGCAAGTTTGAGCAGTGTCATTGACAAGTGCGAGTCTGAGGAGCAACTGCGCTCTCATCCAGCCTATTTTGCTTACTACTGCTCAAACATTAACTTAAATCCAAGGCTTCCGCCACCTCTGATTTCACATGAAAATCGACGCTTGGCGCGCCATATTGGTTGTTTCGGTAATAACTGGAGAGCAACATCCATGGATGATAGTGGCAATGGGTTCTTACCTTTTAATCGAACTTCACTCACTACTCATAAGGAGGAAGTTGAGGATAGATCATCCCCCAGACAAGCTTTAGACAAGTGGTCAGAAGATGGTAATGGGTCTTTGCTTGAACAAGACTTGGCATCTTTCACTGGTCGCCACAAGAGTTTGGTTGATCTGATACAGGTATAAAGCCTTTCTTATCTTTTTTATTTTTTTCATTTTTTCATTTATTCTTCTATTTACCTACTGTTTTATTATATTGTTTGCCACTCTGGATAGATTGTTGTGAGAGTTAACTCTCCAGTATGCACAGTATTATTGGTGAGAGTCCATTTTACTTAATATTTGTCCATCATGCCTCTACTAATACAATATTTAGATATCAACGCACTCCTACTAGTATGCACAACATATAAATATTTGAACTTGTAAAAACTGATCATGTTGGTTATAGAGACCTAAATGAAATGAACTCTCAGCACTTTTGGGTGCCAATTGCCATACACAACATGTAATGGAGTATATGTTGGACACTGTGCTGCATATTCGACTTGCCATTTTTGGGTTGTGAGAGTTGGGTGCTTATGGTGTTGACAGTGGTGGTTCACAGTAGCAACGGCTGTTTTGGAGCATCAAAAGAGAGGAGGAAGAGGGGACTAACATACATATGGATATTTTTTTTTCTGGTAGTTTCTATGGAGATTCTAGTTCTAGGCATTTTGTTTTATATTTTTTTTATGGAAGAAACAGAAAGAGTAGATAAAGGGGAGTATGTGGGTGAAATTCGGTGAAAATCTGGTGCCAGTTTCAGAGATTGGCGGCCAGGATGGCAGCCAAATTCGGGGTTCTTTTGGTGCTGCTGTAGAGAGAGTTCAGATAGAAAAGAGAGGTGAGGAAAAGGAAGGAAGAAATAAGAAAAGGATGCAAAAAAAGAGAGGAAAGAATAATTATTCTCTTGACCCATAAGAAACAAAAAAGGAGTTTTGGGCTTCTATGTTTTGGGCTTGTATATTGGATCATATAAAATATAATAATCTAGTGTTTAAGGTGACTAACACACATATATTTAATAATTAAAACTAACATTAATTATAAAAAATTGAATTTAAGAAACTTGATTTTTAATGGTAGAAATATTTTTGTGATATTTTAAAATGAAGTACTCCCATATATGTATATGTATGTCCTGTTTCCAGGTACATTTTAGATTACTGCAAGTCCAAAATACAAACTGGCAAGTCCAACCCACAGATACATCGGTATTGGACATTCGAACCTGAGTTGATGTAGCACAGATAGAGATAAGCAAAAGTTATAAAATTTCAATGAAATTGAAATTGATGGTTTAGCATTAAGTATCAGAATTATACTGAACCCAAATTGAACTTAGTAGCAAGGACCGTGGGTTTAATCTTGCAGGTTATTACCAGAACGGAAAATCATATAAATTTAAAGGCAATATCTTAATGTTGTCAGCAATTATCTGTTAATTTTCTTTTAATAAAAGTATATGGAGTAAATTCTTAATGTTTAAGAATCGGTGGATTGTTGAATCTGATAGCAAGCTTGCTGTGGATTGGGTTAAGAATTTAGATAGCTGTCCTGGTGTTTTCCTTCATCTAGTGAAAGATATTGTTGTCATGATAAGAGTTTTGGAAGGAGCTATCAGATGGGTTGACAGAACAGCAAATATAGAAGCTGATAGCTTAGCTAAGGCTGGTATTGGGTAGTTATTGTTTGTTGGGTTAGGATGTTGTTTAATTGAGTGAAAGATGTGTTCTTTGGTGTGTTTCGGGTTGTTTTTGTAAGGGGTTTGTTTGTTTTAAACATTAAGTAATCTTTTACTTATTAATGAATTTTGAGGCACTCTTTTCCTCCTTCCGCTGATTAAGGAACACCGATTGGTGTTCTGTTAATCATGAAGGGGGTTTTTAACGAGGCCTACACTTCCTATAAAAAAAATACTCTATGCAGCCATGAATGCTCCTATGATGTTTGATACAAAGCTGTCCGAAACGTGCTTTACATGTATTGTTTGCTAGTTTCTTTTTCATCAGTAGCATGTGTTGGTTTAGTATTCAGCATTTTGCATTTGAATCTTTTATTTTGTGAGTTGAGAGAAATAGAATTCCTCTGTTTTTCTATTTCTTCATACAGTTACAGAAAGGAGAGTCTTTCCTTTAAAATGACCTCTTGTACAAGAATTAAAACTCTAATTTAATCTCGCTTAGAGATAAACTAGTGACTTATCCTTTAGATGAATAAGTCTTCTACTAAAACTAACTAATTAGTTACAATCACTAATATAGATGTCATATCCACAACCTACGTATTTGTATAATCTTATATTGATGTTATGCTTCTTTTCTTGTTAAATGTGCAGGAAGACTTCCCCCGCACCCCTTCACCGGTATATAGTTTGTCACATTCATCAGGCATCGCAACAGCAGATGAGCCAATAGATCATGATGTTAATGCAATCTCATCAAACTTTTCTTCTGTCAATGCTTCTTCCAAAGTACCAGAATTGATCTTAGGTTCTGCTGATGTATGCGTGGATAAAAATGCCCTAGATGCTCATGCTACTGGTTTGATACCCCACAAGGATTCTTCAGTGACCGATATTCAGAACTCACCATGCCCTGAACAGACAGGGAGATTATCAGCATCTTTGGAAGATGATACAAACTTCAAAGATGCTAGGTCGGATGCTGATGTATCTGGTGATGTTCCTCAGTCGGTTTTACTTTCCAATTCCAGAATGAGAAAAAAACAAGAAGCACAACAAACTCATGGAAAGAATATGCCAAGGGAATATTATTCGTCCATTCAACCAGCTTCTGCACAGCAATCCCAAGGATTTGCAGCACAGGCCATTTCTCAAGGATTGAGTCATATGTATAGCCATCCTAAGTTCTCTTCTGTGGGTTCACAACCATTATTACATTCTTCTGGACTCGCACCCCCCATATATGCAACGGCGGCACCATATATGACTTCCGGGAACCCACTGTATGCCAATTTTCAGCCATCTGGTCTATATGCTCCACAAAACAATATTAGCGGATATCCCATGAATCCTGCATTTCTTCCCCCATTTGTGGGAGGATACCTTTCTCATGCTTCTGTTTCTTTGCCATTTGATTCTACTGCATCTGGTCCAAGCTTCAATAATCAAACTTATGGTGCTTCAACTGGGGAAAGCAATCCAAATACAAGTGATTTGCAACCTCCTGGCCACTTTTATGGGCACCATGGCTTAATGCTTCCGCTTTCCTTAGTTGATCCACTTCATATGCAATACCTCCAACATTCTTTTAGCAACATATATGGTGCTTCTGCTCAGCATGGTCATTTGGAATCAACTGGTGTTTCTGGGGGTCAAGTTGATTCTTTTGTGCAGAAAGAAGCAAGTGGTGCTGCTTATATTAGTGATTCAAAACTTGATCCTCTAATTAATGAGAGGCTAAGAATTTCGAGTCCTGGAAAAGTTGGAAGTATTGGTGGTGGCTATTATGGAGGTCACCAAAGCATGGGTGTTATTTCCCAATACCCAACATCACCGCTTGCCAGTCCACTGATGCCATCATCACCAGTAGGTGGAATGACTCCTCTAGGTCACAGAAACGAAATTTGGTTTCCTCCAAAAGCAGGACCGTATTCTGGTTGGCAAGGACAGAGAATCAACAGCTTTGAGGACTTCAAAAGGCATTCTTTTCTCGAAGAACTTAAATCCAGCAATGCCCGGAAATTTGAGCTCTCTGATATATCTGGGCGTATAGTTGAATTCAGGCAGTTTTCTCTATCAAGTTTGTTTTCATTCTCTATTTATATTGTTCTTATTATCTCCTGTGGAAGAAATAATTTAATACCTGTTTGACTTCAGTGTTGATCAACATGGGAGTCGATTTATCCAGCAGAAGCTGGACCATTGCTGTCTTGAGGACAAGGAGTCTGTTTACAAAGAAGTCCTTCCACATACTTCAAGATTAATGACTGATGTTTTTGGTAATTATGTTATTCAAAAGGTATGGTTTTAAATGTTGTTTATGTCATGAATGCTTTAAGTAATTTACTTTTGATGGGAATTGTAAACAATTTGGATGACATGTTTTGGAGGGCCTAATCGTGTTGCTGTGTTGCAGTGTTTTGGGCATGGAAGTTCCGAGCAGCGGAATGAACTTGCTGATCAACTTGTTGGAAATATGCTAAACTTTAGTCTGCAAATGTATGGTTGTCGTGTGATACAGAAGGTGTGTGGACCATTTTAAAAGTATGATCTTGACAGTGGTTGAGTTTGAATATTTCAGTGGACGAAACTCAGTTTCATTATTTTAAAAACTTGACCCCCAAAAGAAGAATCATTAAACAAATATTATGATCAGTCTGAAAAAAAACACCTGGTTTTCATCTACTTAGCTTGTACATGTACATAAATATGTGCAATCTCTCTCTCTCTCTCAAATACAATTTGCAATAAGAGTTGAGAAGGGTATGCCCTTTTCAAGCCATACACTCTTCTATAAGCTAATAAAATATCAATGTATTGAAAGTAAAGTCTTATAACAGTAAGACTCTCAACAAGGCCATGAATTATTATTTTGTTATATGTCCTCTCTAGTGAGATCTTAGCTTTCTCAAGGAATATCTATGTGCGCATTCCACTCATTTTATTATATGAACACATAAACCTGTTGTAAGTATTCTGATGCTTAGCAGCCTTGTATTTAGTTAAATATGTTGGATTAATAACTGGTTATTCTCGTTGGCATTCACATTAATATATGTTCCAACGTATGTATCTAGATATGGTCATGTATGCGGAGATTGTTTATTGCTTTTTTGATGCCATCCAAGCTTATCTTTGGCCTTGGGGTCATAAAGTAGTTGAGCATCTTTCGATGTGTATTTTAGAATGGGCTTCAGTTGTGGATGATGACAAAGCAGATGTTCATCAATTTATGCAATTTTCTGACCTCCATTATGTCAATATTTCCCAGGCGTTAGAAGTGATTGAACTTGATCAGAAAATACAACTTGTTGAGGAGCTTGACGGTCACGTTATGAAATGTGTGCGTGACCAAAATGGGAATCATGTGATACAAAAGTGTATAGAGTGCATCCCTATGGATAGAATTGGGTTTGTTATTTCGGCTTTTCGTGGTCAAGTTGCAACACTTTCTACTCATCCCTACGGTTGCCGTGTCATTCAGGTAAAATTACATTTTGCTTGCCTATACAAGACATTGGCTCGCTGAACATAGTCTTATTTGATATACCTGTTATGTCATGTTCTTATCATTTGCTATTCTTTTGGATTTATGATAGAGAATTTTGGAGCATTGTTCAAACGAACTGCAAAGCCAATGCATCATCGATGAAATTTTGGATGCTGCTTACGAGCTTTCTCAAGATCAGTATGGAAACTATGTTACGCAGGTTCACTTTTAGTTTCAGGTTCACTTTTAGTTTCTGATTGTCAGTTTTATTGATGGCTGATTGGATACTTCCTATTAATGTTGTCTGGTGAGTGGAAGTGGCTATGTTACTCGGACTAGGGTGTGTTGGATATCAGTATTTGTTTGGATATCAGTATTTGTTCTACTCTGGTATATGCAATTTTCTCTAGGTTTTTCTATGTAGGAGGGTCATGTCTCCATACCCATGTCTGGATATGTGTCTAACTCGGGTGTCGGGCTCGGTATTTCAAAAAGGGAGTTGGAGCAATGTAGGTGCATGGCATATCTGTTACTGCTTTCTATTCTTTTTTCACTTTAGCTTCTTTTATTCATTTCCATTTTTCACTCGATAAAATCAAGGCCTCTTCATTGGTTCCTAATTATTTTCTCTTTAGCACCTTTTCACTTACCTTAGTTTCTGATCTCTCGAGTGATTTAACTTTCTGTTGCATTTTTCTACTCAGCATGTTTTGGAGAGGGGAAAGCCGCATGAACGAGGCCGTATTATTAACAAGTTGGCTGGGAAAATTGTACAATTGAGTCAACATAAATATGCGTCAAATGTTGTTGAGAAGTGTTTGGAGTATGGCAATAGTGTGGAACGGGAGTGTTTGGTTGAGGAGATCATTGGACAACCTGATGAAAACGACTCTTTATTGGTGAGTAGTGTAAAAAACATTTATCACAACCAATTATACTCTTAGCTTCTGTCCTCGGCAAGATCTAGAACTTCTCGATAATTAGTTTCTTTCAAGCTTTTCCAATGCATTTTCTTTGTTCAGTTTAAACCTTATTGCTTCCACCTTTATATAATCTTGAAGATCTAACCGATTTCTTATGAAACATTAAATTGAATAGCTGGGTACGGGTTGAACCAGATTACGGAGGGATGAAAATAATAGCCAGTTAAAGCCGATGTTTTAAGTGCACAATTAGTTTTTTCTTGTTTTTGGGAGTATTGTGTATTGTATAAATATGGTAAACTCAAATTTGTTTCTTTGTACACTTTTGTATCTGTCTTCCCTCTTTGTTGCTGTAACACTACATTCTTACTTTCGTCGGAGATCCATGAATTACAATGTGCTTTTAGATTGAACTCTCTTCAGGTGGCAGGTTGTCGAGCCCTCAAACAATAAATAATTGCTGTTCTTTGTTTTTCCCAAAACATTTTACAATTATATTTGGTGTTTATATAATGCAGTGCTTCGATTATGAATAATCGAGGGACCATGACTGTTTATGTTGCATGATGAGATATCAGAATACCTTTGTCCTTTTGTTCTATTGTCATAGTTCTCTTTGACCTGAATAAAATTGTTCTACACTTGTGATTCAACATCTTTACTTTATTTTCCTTAAGTTTGTGCCTAATGTAAAGCTTTGTGGAGCTACTATAGAGTTTACAATGCCTTCCCGAGCATGAAGATTTAGGGAGTGTTGCTAGTTTTCTGATGTTTTTCGATTTTCAAACGGATAATATTACTAACTGAAGCTCATGAACTTTTGTTCCGACTTTTTTATGGTAGACTATGATGAAGGACCAATTCGCTAATTATGTGGTCCAGAAGGTTCTTGAAGTAAGCAACGATAGACAACGGGAACTATTTCTGGATGGGGTAAGAGTTCATCTCAATGCTCTGAAGAAATATACATATGGGAAACACATTGCTGCTCGGTTTGAACAACTGCTTAGTGAAGGTGCGTGGATTTTCTATTCATTAACTCGCATGAATTTCAAGATCATCGATTCATTAACGCACATAAGTTTCAAGATCATCAATGATAACTTTCTCTACTTCCTGAAAATATTAAGATGAAAAGTAGCATGTGCTCTTGTTTATTTGGTTACAGATTAGATATGGTTAACTTGATCATTTATGCATGAATGATTAAAACTTGATCAGTCAAGATTGTTGACGTGCAGTAATGAATAATACTTGATCGTTTATGCAGAAAGCGATGCCACGGCCTCGGAGAAGGCATGAAAGGTCTTTATCGATGTTAGAGGCTGAAACTGTTGCAGGGCGTTTGATAAATTGTTAGTTAAAAAGTTGGGGAATAAATGTATTACTGTATATTGTACACTGTTTGTGTATCTATGTATAGAATAAAACAACTAAAGCTTGCAGTGATTGCTTTGAAATTTATTGAGAAATTTGACAAATGCTTGCAGGTTTTCATTATGTGTATGCCTCTGTGTAAGTATGGTTTGATCATAAGGTTTCAAGTCCTGAGTACCATCCTAAGGGTGTAAATTATGTGAAAAATAATTTGTGGATAAAGTATTCAAATTATTACTAAATTATGTCAAGTGTTTTTTTATCATTAAAATTGGAGATGTTTATGGTCGATTAATCATACCGTTTAATCTAAACGATCGATTAATTGATTGTACCGTTTAATCTAAACGATCTACTAACTGTTGAAATTGTTAACTAAAGGTTCAACTACGAGCTAATATGTAATTTAAATGCTTATTTTTACATTGAACCGTTGAAATCGTTAGCTATTATTAATGGTTAACTATTATTAATAGTTTAATTTCAAACTAATTCAGCCTCTAACGATTTAATGAGCTCCAACATAAGATAAATGAAAGTTTCATGACTTAATATCAAAAGATATAACAAGTCAACTCTAGGATTAAATCATCAACGCTCAAGGTCTTCACCGATTTACCCCAAATTAATATATGACTCACCAATCATAATTGTTAGTTGATTGAAGGTTAAATCATTCGTTCTTATATTTCAAACATGAAACAAATTAGTATAGGAGTTGGATAACTTTAGGGATAGGAACATTAACTTCTAATTTTATTATATATATATATATATAATCTAACAAAGGTTAATTATTTGTCAAAATTTGTAATCATAATCATTAGTCGTTACTTTCAACGGTTTGGTTAATCAAAATTGTTTAATTTTAACAATTCAGTTAATTAACATGTAAAATATAAATGTTACACTGATTAACTACAATTAATGGTTATAGATTAATCTACACACCTCTAATTGAAAATTTGAAAGTAAAAAGATCATGAAATTAAAGTTTTACAAGATAGTTGTTGCACCTCATAAAATAAGGACAATATTGCAATAATTTAAAAATTCATGTCACATCTCAAATTTTAGGGGTTAAATTGAGATACCGTTGAAGTGTTCGTGTCTATTCTTAAATTCTTGAAAGCATAAGGACTAATGACATAATTAAATTTAGAGTTAGGGATTTTAAATGCATTTTTTTCTTTTCCTTTTTTCCTTTTCCCCCCAACTCCTTGGGAGCTTCTGCGATGCAGCGCCTAAAAAACGACTAAAAAACGGCATGACCGGTTAAAATTTAGATCGGTTATGTTATATCATTTAAACGGAAATATTATCAAGTACAATAACATATTAGGTAGGCGTTTATATAATGTAATAGGTAGCGCTTATATTGACCTATTATCTAAGTAAACCGACATATTTATACCAGTAACATTGCAAATTTACCTATTACATTATAATTATCGGCTTCGATGTTTTTTGGATCGATACAATTTTAAATGCATCGACACTTTATGCATGCACCTCGTTGGGTATTCATTCTGGAAAAAAGTATCGACACAAAGTTAAAAAGTGTCGATACATAATTTAGACCTATTTTCTTATAAAACCGGTATATTTCTATCGGGTACATTGTAAATTTACTTATCACATAGTAATTATCGGTTTCGATTTTTTGGGATCGATACTTTTAATAAATGTATCGACACTTTATGTCGTGCACCCCGTTTGGCATTCATTATGGACTAAAAGTATCGACACAAATTTAAATGGTGTCGATACTTTATGCTGACTTATTTTCTCATAAAACTGGTATATTTATACCAGTTACATTGTAGATTTACCTATTACATTATAATTATTGGTTTCGATGTTATTGTGATCGATACTTTTAATAAATGTATCGACACTTTATATTCTGGACAATAACGACACAAATTCCAAAAGTGTTGATACATTATGTTGACCTGTTTTCTAATTAACTGGTATATTTATACCGGTTGCATTGTTAATTTACCTATTACATTATAATTATTGGTTTCGATGTTTTTGGGGTCGATACTTTTAGGAAATGTATCGACACATATTTAGCTAGTTATTGTACATACCTAAATATGTCATGCGAATTTAATGTTGTACCCACCCTTCAACTACCACTACCAATACCACATCCTATTGAAAGCACGACTGAAACATGTTCAATGAACCTTTACTTATATCTCCATTAACTCCGGGACCACTGAACTTGCACAACAAAACTTTTCCCATGGATCATACTGATGCAAACAATATTAAGCCAACCGAGGAATGCCATAAAGTACATAATGTTGATGAATCTGACAGATTGGTTGGTCAGCTCTTCTCTTCACGTGATCAAACTTGGTACTTTTACAAGGGATTCGCAAAGGAACATGGGTTTAGTGCACGTAAGGGAATGTGAAGACACAAGAATTTTGTTATTTCAAAGAAGGGTTTTGAGTATCAAAAGTCAATATTGTTGATCGTCAACGTGCTCATACGCCAGTCATAAGAACAGGATGCAAGGCTAGAGTCGTAGTTACAACAACAAATACAAACGATCAGTGGGTTATAAGTAAGTCTTATCATAAACATAATCATGCATTGTGCACACCTGCTTTGACACCATTTATGCATTCTAATAGAGCTGTAAGTAAGGCTGGTATCAATGAGACAACATCATTGAAAGAGGTCGGTGTTGGAACGTCACAGCATTCTAACACAGCAGGCAGGGGGGCTATCATAATGATGGATTTACACATAAAGACCTGTACAATGCACTTCAAAGAGGTAAAGCAAAGGAAATCGTCGATGGGATGTGAATGCGCTTATTGCTTACTTTGATTATAAGAAACATGATGATCTCGGGTTTTTTATGACATACTTGGTAGATGAATCAGGGGCATTGCATAATCTTATTTGGTCGGATTCTACATCGAGATCAGATTACACATGCTTCAGTGATGTAATTGCGTTCGACACAACGTACAAAGATAATTTGTATGGTCGACCAATTATGAATATTGTCGGTGTCAATCATCACCATAACACAATTGTGTTTGCCACTGCAATAATCGCTGACAAGACGTCCCAATCTTTCGAGTGGGTGCTAAAGAATTTTTTAGAAGACATGATGAATAAATCATCTATTTCAGTTTTCACCGATGGGGATACGATAATGCAGACGGCTATCAAATCTGTTATGCCTTATTCTAAGAACAGATTATGTTCTTGGCATCTTTCTCGCAATGCACAAGCTAACATTGGTGACCTAAAATTTACAGCAGTATTCTCAAAATGCATGGCTTCCTAGTGGACAACCGAGGAATTTGATATTCAATGGCGTTCGGTTGTTTCAGAATTCAACGTCGAAAAGCATCCATGTGTGATTGAGAAGGGAAATACTTGGCACGTATGGGCACAAGCATATCTAACTGGTCATTTCTTTGCCAATATTCACTCAATACAAAGGTGCGAGTCTATGAATGCTTCACTCGCGATTGCACTGAAACACAAAAAGACATATTTAGATGTTGTTTCGTGCAATTGAAGATGGAATTAGTAGAATACGTATGAACGAGTTGAAAGTGGATTACTTAAGTTCCCAGACGAAGCCCTTCCAGATCACAAAACTGGTCAACCTTGAAAGTTATATTGCTGAGATTTTTACCCGCGAATCTTTTCGTGCATTCCAAGATGAACTTCAACGGGAGACATTATACCGGATTCAGGAAGAGATTCAGTCCTTATCAGATGAATGTCAACATTATATTTTGACAAAGTACAAAGAAAAAAATAGGACATTTGAAATTAGTTTTGATTCTCGTACGGAAACCTTAAATTGTCCTACAGAAAATTTGAGACTGTTGGACTTCCGTATCACCATCAACTTCATATTTTGAAGCACTTGGATTACACATATTTGCCCGGGACTTTGATTCAAAGTAGGTGGACTAAGGATGCGTAGGCTTCTGCACCCAGTTTTGTTGACTTGAATGTTCCTCAAGAAGTGATGCAAATGGCAAGGTTCGCTGCTCTACGTTCAACGTCAAATAGGTTTTACAACATTGCATCAAAGAGCGTTTTTCAAAACCGCAAGAGATGAAATGAAAGACCAACAAAAGAAATTGAAAACTCGTTTGGTTTGAATGATTCAGTCAACCAGAGCAGTGTAGTAAACAACATTCACAACCCTCAACGAAAACAAAGCGAAAAGAAGTATCGAAGAACAAGGTCGAGAAGAAAATTAGGCGATGTGGGTACTGCAATGGTGAGGGACATAACAAACTAACATGTCCTCAAGTCAAGCTCAGTTTGACTACAAGCATACAACCTACGTCAACTGACTTTTTCGAAGTCGGAATGGAATGACCATTCAGTCCCGCACGTGATGACAACGATCTCCATATATCGTAAGTATCAATATGACTCCTATTGTGTATAAGAAACATGTACAACAACCTATTGCTAACATTTCTCATCTCATACATAATTACATTCACATACAAAATTATAAATCATATACAACATTATAAATCTTATACAAAATTAACCATACATTAACAAAATTTCCTCTCTTAGTCTATTTTGATTGTGGCTTACGAGACCGTTTAATATTTCATCCGCATCATCACACAAATGCCAAACAATCTGTAAACTAGCGTCTCCCGCAATCATGGCCAGAATCAGTTCTGTAACTGGTATTATCCATGTTAATCATGTTGACTGTATAGCTAATAAAACCTAGGGGTCCAAATGGTAAGCTAGAAATTGGTAAGGCAAGCTTTATTTGAGGGTTTAAGGTTTAGAGCCCTCCAACGTAAGGAGTTCATGATTGAACATTATGTATAATAGTTGTATTCAGTTGTTGAAGAATTGTTCTTAATTTTATATAAGGATAGTTGTTATGATATACGTTCACGTTTCGAGACCAATTAGTTAGATGCATGCAGTAGCCTATATCCTCGAGGCATAGCATAAGAAATCTGGCACTTAAAGATTTACCAAGAGCGGTAGCTTTTTGATAGGGAAGCAGTGGCGGATTGATGAACGTTGCTCTTGTTGAAGAATCAAACCTAGAAAGCTCTAGACTCGATGAAGAACAAAGGTGATGAATATGG